TTTGAGACAGAGTCTCACTTTGTTGCCCTCAGTAGAGTGCCGTGCATCTTAGCTCATAGCAACCTCAAACTCTTGGGCTCAAGTGATCCTCTTGCCTCAGCTTCCCAAGTAGCTGGGACTACAGGTACCCACCACAACCAGCTATTTTTAGAAATGGGGTCTTGCTCTTCCTTAGGCTGGTCTCAACTCCTGAGTTCAGGGAATCCACCCACCTCGGCCTCCCAGAGTGCTAGGATTACAGGTGTGAGCTACCACATTGACCTTGATTTACATTTTTATAGATTTTTTAAAAAAGTTTTAGGTTATAGAACTTTAAAGTCTTCTTATTAAATTCTTTCTAGATATTCTATTCCAGCACTCAGGAGAGAAATGTTACTCTCTGGAGCCACATTTTTCTCCCAACTATATAGATAGTTGGAACATTTGGACATTTCTTCTACACTGAGACTTTTCTGCACCAAAATTAGATGTGTCATAATAGTTTGTTGAACTAAAACAAAGTGAGTTCTAGCAAGGTTGTTATTGTGTGGCTGGATTTTTTTTTTTTAATTCATGACCTGCAAAAATCTTAATTTGCAGTTCCTGGTTGGTGGTTATGTCAGTTATATTGTATAGTTTGTTCTGAAAGAATGAAATGAATCCTGAGTATACACTCATACTTGGTTATTATTTTTTAAGGCCACTTATAGAAAAACCATTTAGCTGGGAAAGCAAGATCCTTGATGACAGTTTTCATAAATTGGGCAGTTGCATGGAAGTCACTGCAAAACCTTTAGACTTTGACATTTCAGCATTATGAGGCAACCCCAAGTATATTATTTATTCCCATTTCTGGAACAATTGGAGCCAAGAGCAGTTCTGGAACAGAAGTTGGGACAGACTAAGGGAAACCTATGTTTGCTTGGGGGGGGTGGAGTGGCAGTCCTGAGGGTGATGAAGAAGGAGCCTTCTTGGGGTCCCCTGAGCAAAGGCACAGAGGCAAGGAACCAAGCCACACAGCTACAGGAGTGGTGGCAGCAGGGAGGGTGCCAGACTAATTGGCCCACATGCCAGCTCCTTGGGGAGAGGCCACACCCCATGGCCTTGGGACAGGTAAACTATTGAAGGCTGATGGGATGGGTGAGGGGCCTGCTCTCCATGTTGGAGTATCCATTTGGCCTGGGGGAATGGGGGGACCTACATGTTCAGTATCATGATCAGCATGTGCACGGCTTGCCAAGGGACAAGAGGCGCAGGAGAGCAGGGAGAGGACCTCCCTGTCTTCCAAGACTGAGTCTCGGAGGTGAGCTTCCTCATCTCCACCTTACAGGCCAGAAGGGAGAGGGCCTCAGGGACTTTGGAGCCTTCTTTTCTCTGTCCTTTCAATAACACACAGCTTCATTGTACCCTGTCTATCCCAGGAGGGCAGGTGCCCTGCCTGGACATACTGCCTCACCTCTCCCATCTACCCCAGAGGTATGTGTGCTCTGCCTGGATATATAGCCTCACCCCTTCCACCTAACCTACCCCAGAGGGAGCAGTGCCCTTCCTGGAGGAACAGCCTTACTTCTCCTGTCTACTACAAGGGGATCTGTTCTTTACCGGGATGTAGGAACTCCCCAACCTCCATCTCCCAGGATGCATCCCATAATGAGCTTGTAAAGAGTGAAGTGAAGGAATTTCCTAGAGTGAAGAGAAAGAACAAAGAAAGTTTGGTGTTTGGTGGACAGTAAATCACATCTCGCTGGTCGCTGGTCAGAGACATCTTGGTTGGCCCTGCTTGCCCCCCTGCTTGGGGCTGCAGGTGACTCATCCCGAATGCCAAGTTGCTATCATCTGGGCAGCCACTTAGGCCAGCTTTGTGTCTCTGCTTCTGTTCCTGCTCCTGTGGAAAGCTATGTGTTAATTAAATAAATAAGACTTTAATTCTATGTAAACAGTCTGTGTGTGTCCCTCTGAGCCTTCCTCTGAGGATGTTCTAGGGGGCAGGACTGGAGTGTCAGCCAAAAAAGCACATGGCTGCTCT